GAAGGCCTGGTGATAAATTTTACGGGAGTGAGTGGGGGGAAGCTTTGGTGACTGCTTCAGAAAAACCAACCATGGCAATGAAATCCACGTGGAGCGCTGCTGGACCCTCCAACACCCGCAGGGGTGCCTCGATGAGGAATCTCGCTGATGGCTACTGGCTATACTGGATGTTGGTCTGAAGGAACTTGTAGGCTGAGACAAGCTCTCTCCACACAACTCCTGTCTATAGACTTCCCAGACACCTCAGAGGGACCCCCAGGCTGGGCCTTTCTGAGAAGAGGGGCATTTGGCTGAGACATTCAGAGAAGCTCCTATTCTGAGGCCCCTCATGGTGAGAAACCTTCGGAGGGACCCTCAAACGAAGATTCTTCAGAGGGACCCCGGCTAAGGAACTCTGGGGAAGCCTCCAGATTTACAGACCATTTAGGGGCCTACAAGTATGTGGAAGCCCCTCAAGAGGAATTCTTAGAATAAGACACTTTTGAAAGAGCCTTTCCACTGAGATCTTTACAGAGGGTCCCCTGCTGAGACTCAAAGTATCTCCAGCCTAGAAGGAGACATGGAGTAGAGCAGACTTTGAAAAAGTACGCTCTGATCTTAGGGTTTGGAAAGGGGTCCAGGAACTTCCATTGTGGTTCTGTCCCCTTCCGGCTCTGACTTCCTCTGACTCCTCTGCCTACATAATCCTTCTCCATTCCAGGTGCAACACTTCCCAGGCCAAGAAGCCTGGGAAAGTGAAACTGGACCATTTGGGTTGGGGGGTGAACTACGACTGAGTCACTACAGCTGCTGTCCACTTTCTTAAGGACGTCATCCTGGGTAATGGGATAGGGCTGTGAAGGGTTTGCTCAGGACCCGGGGAGGGAGAAGCTGGCAGCCAAGTGAGTCTGGAGACTCAGGGAGTTGCCAGAAAGCCCATTTGGGCTGCTAGGGGGAGCTTTCTGAGAGAAAGGAAGCCTGGGCAACACCCAGCCTGGTGGAACCCTCTATCAGCTCGTCCTATGGTCCCTTTCTCCTGACCCAAGTGTTTTCTGTTTACCTCTGCCACCAGCACTAGGAAAGGCCAGGATCTGGGCAGACTTAAGTGCCCACATTGCTCCTGGTTGGGAAAATGTGTGTCGTAGCAAAAGTACAAACCTATCTCAACTCCACATGTCCCTCTGTCCCTCTGTGCCACCAACCTGCCTTCATCAGCTTCTGCTCCTGTCCTCCTGGTTATCAACACAGTCCCCTGCCGCTTCCTTGACCCACACTTTCTGAGGTCCTGCCATCTCCCTGGCTCAACCCCAGGGTGTTTCTAAGCCATCCCTCTCCCTCCTGGCCTTTCCTCCCCTTTCTTCCCACAACTCAGCTGGTTGGTCTAGGGCCAGGGGCATCCCAGACCCAACTCTCCAAGGTCCCCTCCTCCTGACAGGGTGTGTGTTGGTGAGCAGGCTCTTTGCTCTGGCCAACAGAAGGTGGGGCCACACGGCTGGCTCAGAGCCCAGGCCGCTGCAATAGCGGGGGTGGGGGTGGGGGGGTGGCTTAGGGAGCAGGCCCAGCCCCCTGTCTCCCCTCCCTTCCCCCAGGTATAAGAGCTGAGTTTAGGTGAGCTGGTCCCTCCTGTCCTGTCTCAGAGACTGCCAGCAGGTAAGAAAACCTAGGTCTTTTCACTTGAAGGGGCTGACTATTGCTTAGAGGGCACACTTAACGTCCCTCCTCGGCCCTAGGCTGCCAGGGATCAGATCCTGGAGGGGCGTGTGTGTGTGTGTGTGTGTGTGTGTGTGTGTGTGTGTATTCACAACAGAGGTGGTAGATATAATTGAGGAGAGGTCTAAGGAATTCCCTCTAAACGGGCTGGAACTGTGGCCTCAGCTCCTGAAGCCTTGGTGTGACTGGGCTGTGTGTGGGGCTGCCTCAGATCCCTGGAGTATCTGGAGTGGAGCCACAGTGGGAAACTGAGGAGGGTTTACTAGGCTCCTCCCTCACTGCAGGTAGAACATGAGCCATCAGCTCCGCTGGGACAGGCTGTAGGACCACAACGACTCTCTCCAGCGGACCAGACACACCAGGGCACCATGGGTCAGTGCCGGTCGGCCAATGCTGAGGTGGGTCCTTTCGTTCCTCATGTGTTTTCTGTCCTCACTCTTTCTTCCTGAGGATCTGTCCTTTCCCATTGACTTTGGCCCATCGTGGCCTGTCCGCCTGTAAGGCCCCTGCCTGAGAGCCCTGCCTGATGCCCACACAGGGTGCTGACAGTAGCGTCCTCCTAGGAAGAGCCGCGTGCCGGGGCCTGCCCGGCTTTGGGAGGGGCGGAGGAGGGAAGGCTTGCTTCATGTGTGGCTCCAGGCAGAGGCTGCCATGGCTGGGAGGCCCACGGGGCAAGGACGGCTGGTTCCTGGCATTGGGAGTGGGTGGGAGCCTGTGTGCCTTCCAGATCCCTTCTGCCCGGTTGGCTGTGTGGGCTCCTGGGTGTCCCTGGATGGGTAGAGTCTCCCTCATGTGGGTGAGGATGTTCCCTGTCCCCAGGATGCCCAGGAGTTTAGTGACGTGGAAAGAGCCATTGAGACACTCATCAAGAACTTTCACCAGTACTCAGCGGAGGGTGGCAAGGAAACGCTGACTTCTTCCGAGCTACGGGACCTGGTCACCCAGCAGCTGCCCCACCTCATGCCGGTACTGAGGGAGAGCACCCTGCCCAGCTAGTGCCCTGACTTCCCAAGCAAGTACTCCAGTACCCCACCCACAGCGCCCAGCCCCTGGGACTAGCACCCCCCGTCCCCAGCCTCTCCCCTCTGTCAGTGCCAGGTAGGCTTAGGCTCTGCTTCCTGCCCTGGGGCAGGGTGGGGTGGGAAGATATGAAGGTGCTGCCTGTCTGAGCTGTACGTGTCTTCTCTCCCTTTCAGAGCAACTGTGGCCTGGAAGAGAAAATAGCCAACTTGGGTGGCTGCAATGACTCCAAATTGGAGTTTGGAGGTTTCTGGGAGCTGATTGGAGAAGCAGCCAAGGGTGTGAAGCTGGAGAGCCCTTGCCCAGGGAGCTGAGAATCTTCTGGAAGTTTTGGGGGGTTGTTGGGGCAAGGGGACCTTAGAGACTGTGGGCCTGGAAAGAAAACTCTCCACCATCATCACCTCATTCCCAGCCTGCACCTTTCCTCACCTCCTCATGGTTCAGGATCATAACTGCCCTCCCAGGGCTCTTCGGGCACCAAGGGGGCCAGAAGTCTCACCAGTGGGAGGCTCACAGGCTAGGCTGAGGCCAGGGATGGATGCTGAGGGGTGAATGCAGAAGGGCTAAGAAAATTGCTACTGGGGGAGGAGCAGAGAGCATCTGGGGTCTGGGAACTGATTTGAGGAAGGGGGCTGGGTAAATGGGACTAAAGAGAATCTCTAAAAACCTACCCTTCCTAATGTCTCTTCCAATTAAAGCTGTCAAGTGTCATCTCTTCCTACTTCCAGCTCTTCCCCAGCCTCCTCCTCGGGCTCTGTCCCTAGGCTCAGGCAAGGAAAGAGAGGAAGCAGGTTGGGGAGAGGCTTCGGTGGGCTTTGGGGATGAGGGAACCAGCTGGTGCTTGGGTATTTACAGAATGATGGTTGTTTTGTATCATTTGATTAATAAAAACCCAAAAAAACCCACAGTGAATGCTTTCATCTTGATTGGATCTCTCCTAGGTGTTTGAAGGGCTATGGGTGAGGGGAACTGGGAAGGGAGGGCAGAGAGCTAGTGGCAGGGGTGGGACATGTCAGAGCTGGAGTGGTTGGCAGTGGAAGTGACTGGGGATTCACTTTTCCCCATGGGCTAAGGTTGAGGGTGGTTCTTCCAGACTCAAAAGGTGGGAGAACTGGTCCTCTCTGAGGGCTGGGCTCCTCTTTACCAGTGGCCTGGCTCTCTGACAGGAGATGAGGGTGTGTATGCCACACCTGGGGTAAAGGATGTGAACTAGGAGTCCTGGAACCTAGCTGACTCTTAGCAAGGGAAATGGGCCTGAGAAACAGGCTGGTAGGGCTGAGTTTGAATCCTTGCTCTGCCACTTACTATCTTAGGGATTTTGGCATGCTCTTAGAGTATCAGTTTCCTCATCTGTGAAATGGGGATATTAATAGCATGTCCCTCACAGGGTTGTTAAGATGCTGATGTACTGCGTCATGCCAAGCAGAGCCTGACACACAGTGAGAGGTTGAACATGAGTTGTAACTGGGAGTGGGGAACTGGGTGTCCTCTCTGGTGACAGCTGCTACCTCGGTGTAGTGAGATGGAACCTGCCAGGTGTCTTGGGGAAGATGGAAGAGAATTTCTGCAGGACCCATCAGGAGGCCTCTCAGGGTCCCCTGGTAAGTGCAAACAGTTAAGCACCTGACTGTTAGCTGGAAGATTGGTGGTTTGAACCTACCCTGAGGCGCCTTGGGAGACAGGCCCGGCCACCTGCTTTTGAAAAGGCTTTGAAAACAACATGGGGCAGTTCCACTCTGCACACATGAGGTCTCCATGACTTGGAGCAGCTAGCAACCACAAAGATGGGTCTCAGAACAGTTCCATATGATCTAAACTGGAGAGGGAAGAGCAGGAGGGGACCTGAGGGCACAGAGGTCAGCTGTGACTCATGACATGCTCAAGGTGAGGAGGAGGCTTCCGCCAGCCAGGCTGGGCTGAAATGAGAATTGAACGGGACTGTTGGAGGCTCCTGAAACTGGGCTCCCAGTGACCTAGGTGAGGAGGGCAGGTGAACGGGCTTTCCTTCCTTTCTCCACATGTCTGGATTTGGCTCCAGCCAGGTGTGTCTGGTTCTGCTCAAGCCCTACGGGGTTAGGAGTGTAGGGTTGGGGTAGTGCCAGCTTTGACCACTCCCTCTGGAGTGGGGGTGGAGGGGTGTTAAAAAAGGTGTGTATCCCTTTAACAAGGGCCCAACCCCAGGGCCAAGTTAAGAGGGAGCGCAGTCACTATCTCCCCACCGAGCCAGCTCCACCAGGCAGGGCAGGGAGAGAGTGGGACAGATTCTGGGAGTGCAGTGGGGAGGAGTCCCAGCTGGCCTGAACGGGAGCTGCTTGGCAGTGCCAGAGCCCAGGCCCCAGCGACCTACTGGACAGGAGGTGGACTGAGGAGGCAGGTGAGTGCCCCAGGCCTGACCTGGGAGGTTGGGGGCTGTCAGAGAGGTCCTGCAGGGTTAGGGAACCAGGAGAAGGGGCAAGGTTGGGGGCTGGAGAGAGAGGCCTCCCTGAGACAGGCCAGGAAGATTTCGTTAATGATTAACTTTCCCTAGAGGCCAGATTGGAAATGGGGAGTTTTTGACTCTTGGAATTGGGGTTAGGGGCTGTGTAAGGCCTACAGAGAAAAGGTACTTAATGGAAAGACCCCTTTACCAGCCTCGCTGTGAACTGGGCTCCTCTCCAGGGGCTGAGCCACCGGAGCTTTGCCCACAGCTGTTCCGATCCACCCCTTACAGGAAAAGGACACATTTTGTTGGTGGGGGCAGGGGAGTGACCAGAACCTGGTCTCAGGCCTTTCTGAGCCTTAGGAGCTGCGTGCTGGGAGAGGTGGAACCAGGGCCAAGGGCCCAGAGAACCTGGGAGGAGGGTGCAGTCTCCTCCCCGGGTGGCAGCTCCTCTGTTGAGCTCTGTGTTGGTCTCTGGGAACTGGTCCCTGGGAAGGGTTATGAGACTCAAGTGGACCCCGTGGAGCCCAAAAACTCCAGGATGAGGAAAGGAGTCGAACTTCAGCAGCTTCTCCACCTCAGGACCCAGGCAGGTTCTAGCTTGACTTGCTTTGCTTGGCAGGGCTACCTGCCCCATAGGAGCATGCCTGTGCCCAGCCCTGCTGAGGAGGGGGTGAGGGCAGGGGTGAGAAGGAGGGAGCAGTGGAAGTGCTGGTGAAAGGACCTCAGCCTTTCTCCATGACTAGAAAAAGAGGTCTAGGTGTAAGTACAGCCCAGGGGTGTATGTGTGTCAGTGACAAACTCTTCTAACGTCACTTCTTCATTTGCGAGTCAAGTTCTTTCTGGCAGACTTGATGGGTTACTCCAGACCAGGAGACCAGGCATGGCTGAACTCTTAACTCTGTGTGTGTCCTTGTGAATCAAATTGCAGTGGGCCCTGGGAGGGCTGGAGAGGAGAGCAGGCACTTGTTGAGATATTGAAAGTCTTATTTCCTACAATGAGGAAAGAATATGCGAGGCGGGAACAGAGAGTGAGACTGTTTGGGGTGGATTTGTTTGAAACAGCCTTGCAAATAGAGTAAATTATTACCAGTCCAGTTCAGATTGTGACACCTCTTTATATGGGAGGCAGTTGGGGTGAATCAGTGAGGAAATGAATATGCCACTGAGAGAGTAAATGAATGAATGAGAGCCATGGGTGAATGAATGGGTCAGCGATGAAGGTGGACAATTAGGTGGATGAATTGATGGTAGGTGGAAGGGACACAGAGGGTGTTAGAGTTAAGTTGGGAGCGAGACACAGGAAAGAACAGTGACTAGAAAGGACGGAAATCTAGGGACATAACTTAACCCTTGGGAATAATTTGGGGTTCATGAGGTGGGAAGAGAAGGTGGACTTCAGATGGTGTGGTGGATGTTTAGGACTCCAGGTTGAAGGGTACCTGGGAGTGGAAGAGGTGGGGCAGAGTTAGAAGGCCCTTGGAGGAGGTGAGGTCCAGAACCTGGGGGCGGGAGGGCGGGGTTTGAGTGGCTGAGATCCAGGGGGATGGAGTCAGGGTAATTTGGCCTTTTGGAGAAGTCAGCAAGCTAGGATGAGGTGGGCGGGGGAGCTCCTGGTTGCTTAATGATGAATCAGCCTGGGAGAAAGACAATGAGAACATTGTGGGGAGGGGGCTGGGGGCCCAGGTGAGAGGGTCCCTGGTGGATGAATGACCTCCCTTCCCATGGGCAGGCTCCAGTGCAAGCTGTGTGGATGGCTAAGTCCTGCCAGCCTTTCCCACAATGAGGAGGGTGGGGCAGCATCCTTGGTCCCTTCTCTCATGCCAGGGTTCCTTCCCTCTGACTTAGTTCCTGGATGGATAGGGAGGAGGAGCTGGTGACTATGGGATGGGTGGGGTGGCAGATTCTGTCTCCTGGCCCTCAGGGGCCTGGGGTGAGGGCGAGTGTAATGACACCTGATCATGCCAATCCAACACCGCACCTTTAGAAGATGTTTCAGAAAACACTTGTCCAGATAGTTATCTCCAACATCATCCATTTTACTTGAAGATGGAGGATGGAGGGAGGATAACTAGGAGGAGAGCCTGGGAACCAAAGACCAGAGAGGCTGAGCTACCTGCCTGCAGGCTGCTGAGGGGCTCTTTGGATGCTGGTTCTGTGATCTGCCTGCTTGGCTGCTGCCAGAGGCCTGATTGAGTATTGAGTAGGATCAGGGACGGCTGACTCCTTTGGTCAGAAAACCAAGACTCTAAGAAAGAGATAGATGAAGAAGACAGACGGTGGATGGCATATGTGGGGCAGGCAGGGTGGAGAGCAAAGAGGCACGTCACCCAAACCACCATATTCCGCCCCTTAGGGAGCAAAGTCTGAGAAGGGCAAGGACAGGGGGGTTCTCTGAGTTCTCTCTCCTCTGTTCCCAGGCTTGGTTGGGAGCAGGCTTAACACCATCCTTCCTGAAGTGAGTGTGCCTTTCAGAATTCCCAGAAAACTCTAGTCAAGGACTTGGCTGTTCAAGGACAGGAGAGTAGGCAGCTCATAAAGTCAAGACGTTTTCCTCTCCTCATTTGTGAATGTTAGAGCTTTTGTATGACAGTCTCATGAAGCCACATATGCTAACAAATAACCCATATGGAAAAGAGTATGGTTTCCTGCAGACGCTCTGTCCTCCGTCCTTCCGACCACAGACCAGAGTGGTCAGAGGGGTGAGGCAGGGGAGAGGAAGGGCAGGATGCCTGGCCGAGTCTAACCCCTCTTCCACTCTCCTCTCTTTCCTTCCTGCATCCTGATTCTGGCCTTCTGTGGCTCACTCTTCCTTCCAGGAAAGTTTTAGGAAGGCTTAGGCCTGTACCGACTCGGAAGGGTGGTCAGAAGTCCCACTACAGGGTATCCGGGTTGGCTGGAGAGGGAGGGATCACTCATAGGACATCTACCTCAAGAAGGCACCTACAGTGAGGACCACCAGAGATACAGAGATTAAAGATGAGATTTGCGGGGATTAAACACATGTGTCCCAAAGTTCCAGTCTTGCTGGTAGTCTCTGAGTTTTATCATTTGGTAGAAAACACATAGTGACTGTGTATAAAAATGCAGCCCTGGGCTCCAGGAATGTCTGGGGAGATCAGATCTAGGAAGGGCCTGGGCTCCCCCAGTCAGTGGGTCCCAGCCAAGGCTGGGCAGTGCATATGGTCGATGTATCTTTGGCGGCTGGAGGAAGGTGCTGAGGGCAGGGGTCAGGGCAGGCTCCCCACAGGAGGTGCGATGGGCAGGCTCAGCTGGGTGGAAAGGATGGGGTAGTGGGGGTGGGGGCAGGGGGACACAAAAACAGGTGGCAGGAGCTTCAGTGGGGTTGGGACAGCAGCGGCCAGCCTCAGTCAGGCTGTGGGCTACTTAGGCCTCACTGAAGCTGTGTCCTCGCTGTGCGCAGGACCCACCAGGCGAGGGCGGCTGGACTTCATTCCTGGGTTTGAGGGTGGGAGCAGAGTCTGATTTGCCCAGTTGACATGGGGGGGGGGGTGCTGGGCATGGGCGGTGACTCTCATAGCAGATCAAGAGCAGATCTGTTTGCTCCCTCATATCCGGTTATTCATACGGCTGTATCCGCTGGCTCAGAATGTGAGTGCCTTTTGTCCCTGTGAGAGAGGGGATGTGTGTGGCCTCTGTCAGGCTGCAGCTGTGTCGAGGGTCCAGTTCCAGCTGGGGCGAACCAAGCCTGTCTTTGACTTAGGTAATGGGTGGGATGTTCTGGGGTCCTGTTGTATTTGTAGGGCTAAGTGTGACGGAGAGGGGCTAGTGGGTGTGCCTAGGGCGGAGTCTGACTCGATGGATGTGAAATTTTCCCACAGACAGAAGCCAAGGTTGGAGAATTTGGACTCACTGCCCTTGGGCCTGCTGAAGGACTGGGGAGGGCCCAGGTCTCGACCTCCTACTTTGTTGCCTGGGGCTGTTGTCTAGTCCTTGCCAGCCCAGGGAATGGGTGCAATCGCTCTGGCCGGCTCCTCTGGTCTCACCTCTGCAGCTCCTAGCTGGGCTTGCCTCCAGCCGCACCCTCGCTTTGCCCGGCCAGGTGTGGCGTTGGGCAGGAGTCGGGCAGGAGGGGTGGGCAATTACTCCTCCTCTTCCCATGGGAGCAGATCGCTCTCACTGGGGCTCTCCCTCGGCGTCAGCTCGTGCCCGGGGCTGGGGAAGAGCCTGGAGAACCAGCTGAGGCAGTTGAGCTGGGCACCTGGATTAGAGGAGCCACATAGTTCTCATTCCAAGGCCTCCCTGTGCCATGCCCGTGCCCACCTTGTCATAGCCAGGCTTCCCCTTGGCCTGCCTCCTCTGAGGAGAAGCCAGCCTGAGTGAAGCCAGGGCCCAGGGCAGGAAGAGGTCAAGGCTGAGAGAGTCTGGGGGTCCGGGAGGGGTTTTGACTTGTGGAGCCTTTTATCATTTGTTCTTCCCACGTTGCCCAGGCCCCCAGAGGTGGAGAGGTGCTGAGATGGCAGACAACTACACGGAGCTGGAGAAGGCAGTCGTGGTTCTAGTGGAAAACTTCTACAAGTATGTGTCGAAGCACAGCCTGGTCAAGAACAAGATCAGCAAGAGCAGTTTCCGTAAGATGCTGCAGAAAGAGCTCAACCATATGCTGACGGTAAGGCCCATCCCAGGCCTCAGCTTCCCCACCGCTCGGGGCTCTGTCCTCTCAGGTCTTCACACAGCACTGACCCCACCTCCTGCTCTCATGGTCTTTCCACCCCAGGGCCTTTCTACTCCAGGGCCTTGTGCTCCCAGGACCTCTCTCTTCACTCTAGGACCTTGCCTCCTATCCAAGGTCTCTGTCCTCCCTCCTCCCCAAGTTTTATCCCTTAATCCAAGGCCTCTGTCCTTTGAGGGACCTTCTACTCCAGGGCCTCATTACCCCACCCCCTCAGTGCCAAGGCCTGAGCCGATGAGACTCTGAGTTTCCAGGGCTGAGGCTGTCCTGGCCGGCTTTCTTTCCCTCCATCTAATGTTCTGTCTGAGGGTTCTGTGGGGCTGCCACCCCGGAGGCAGAGTTGCTGATCTCCGGTCCCTCCGCAGGACACAGGGAACCGAAAGGCTGCCGACAAGCTCATCCAGAACCTGGACGCCAACCATGACGGGCGCATTAGCTTTGATGAGTATTGGACCTTGATAGGTGGCATCACCAGGCCCATCGCCAGCCTCATCCGTGAGCAGGAGCAGCAGAACAGCAGCTAGGACCCCAGCCCCCGCCAGTCACTGACCCTGACTTCCGAGGTCCCATTCTCCTGGCTAGGTCCCTCCTCAGCCTCCTCCGGCCACCAGACCCTTCCTAGCTTGTCCCTCCAGACCTGCTCTCCATCCATGCTGAGCAGGAGGCTGGGGAGATGTCAGGGCTCTTCTGTGAGTGTCTCAGTCCCCAGGGGTGCTTTCCCTGAGGGTCTCAGTCCCTGAGCCAGCAGGCCCTTAGGGCCCCCCTGAGAGACCTCAATGCTGTTTGGGGGACCCTGAGCATTTCCCTACTTGTTCAGCCCATCTACCTGTCCAATGCTGCTGTCCTTGCTTGATTCCTGACTGATTCTGGGCCCCGTTCCAGTCTGCTGCAGGGTCGGCTCGCTGCTTGAGGGCTCCCAGCCCCTGGCAGCAGCTGCAGAGCCTCCCCTTCACCCTTTCATCCCTCTGCTGGGTATAGAAGCACGTCCAAGGATCCCTGCCAGCTGCTGCTGCGACTGAGAATGAGCAAAGCAGGCCTGGGCCTCCCCCTCCTGCTTAGCCACTGGAGAATGGCAATAAAAGCTGGATTTGGAATTTGTAGCCCTCTCACCTGATCCCTTTGTGATGCTTATTTACTTTTCACCTCCTTGGGAGCTCCTGGTGCCTCAGTGATCTTTGTCCTGGGCTCTGAGGTAAGGGAACTGTGCCAGAGCAAAAAAGAACCAGGAATCATTGTCTCCAAGGGTGCTGCCCTCCTGCTCCGTGAAAGGCCCTTCTACGGCCTTCACAGCACAGACACAGATGTGTGTTCAACTTCTGGGCACCTGTAGGTCTCTTTTATCCCTCACTTCAATCCTGTGAGCAAAGCCATGTTGCTCAGTCTTGTCCTGAGCCAAGAATATCGCTGCGGCCTCGAATCCTTAGCCGTGGATGATTCCAATACACAGGGAGGTTTAGAGGATAGGGAAATAGGGATACCAGAAGGGAGGGATGTGGGAGGCCAGCATTAAGATTGGAAGTGGGAAAGGAAGCCACCACTTATAGCTGTAAAGAGAATTGCAGCTGCAAGTGTGGGTTTCTGTTTCTCCCTAGATCCTCATGGAGGGAACTCTGCTTGGAGGAAGGCCCTGCCAGACTGAGGGAAAGAAGGCAGAGAACCAGGGCAGGGGGTGCTGGTGGCAGAGCTCTGGTTGAGCAGTGACCCAAATGTCAAGGAGATGCTTAGGTCCACCCAGATAATTGGGTGGATAGAAGATAGATCTTCAACCTTCTACATTTGGTCTGACTCTGAACAGACATGCTGCCAAGGCATCGTGCTGGTTCTCTTTGCTGCTGGAGAACAGCATCTATGCTTCACAAGTACTGATTTCTAGTATCAAATGAAGAACATACCCTAATTGAACTGTCTTGTCCTATGTGATCTTAACCAAATGGTACAGAACTCATTCATATATTATTTCCCCCCATTAAAAAAAAAGAAAAATCCTTTTATTGCACCCTTAGTTTATAAACACATGGAATCACCTGAGGACAAAGTTCATGTACAGCCCAGCTTGCTGATTGGCTGCTTGATAATAATACCTTGAGCATTTCCCCAAACACGTTAAAACCAAATTCTGCGGCATGGACTCCAGGTTCATAGCGGTACCAATTCAGACTTTAGATTCTTCCATGGCTGCAGCTACCGTCTTCCAGACAGGCTCTCAAGCTGGGCGGACTCCAAGCCACAGGTTTTACGCTCTATCACTTAGTTGTCAAAGCCTGAGGAAGTGGAGATAGTGAGCAATATTTCTCCCAAATACTCAACTGCTGGCAGCCACTCAGACCCAGACCTCCTGGTGGAACATTTCTCCCGTTCCTCAGCAGCCGAAGATGTGCAATGCTGCTCCCTCGAGCTTTCCTCCAGTTCCTCCACGGAGAACGGTGTCCTGGCTGTTCGGGGAGCCCACAGCATGGCGATGGTGCGCCATCCTGAGAGCAGAAAGCTATTCGTCTTATTTATTTATTTATTTAAAATTTAAGATATCCACTGCTGTCAAGTCTGATTTGCAGTGACCCTATTTGATTTCTGAGAGTATACATCCTAATGGGAAGAAACAGCCTCATCTTTGTCCCAGGGAGCGGCTGGCGGGTTTGAACTGCTGACTTTTCAGTTAGCAGCTTAACATTTCAATGTCATAATGTTTAGAGTTCATTGAACACATTTAAAAAGGTTTTAAATAAAAATGGCAAAGATTCTATCATCTTTCAGAAATTATACCCTTTGGAATGATTAAAATTTATGATGAAAAAGCAGAACTGTCAACTTGAAAATGTGTCAGGAAGTATGCATCATTCTTCAAAATCCCCTTGAGCAAATAAACCTTATGAAGACAGACTCTGCTTTAGAGAGTAGCAGGAATCTCTGGGTGGTACAACTGGTTAAAATGTTTGTGAACCAAAGGGTTGATGGTTTAAGTTTACCTCATGTTGCCTCAGGGAGCTCTGGTGGCTTAGCGGTAAAAAGTTGTGTTATAATCCCAAAGGCACACAGTTTGAATCCACCAGACATTCTCCCATGTGATGTACAGCCTCTGAAAACATTAGAGGTCAGTTCTAACTCAAACAATAGTGTTGTTTCGGGGAGCTCTCCTGGACTAGTGAGTAAGAAGCTACACTGCAACTCAAAGGCAGGCAGTTCGAATTTACCTGAGGTGCTCCTCAGGAGAAAGATGGACAATTTCCTCCTATGTGATTTAGTGCCTCTGAAAACCTTCTGGAGAGTCACAACAACAACAGTACTGCCTGAGAAGAAAGTTGTTATGTGCTGTATCTGTTATGTGTTGCCTGCGACTCATAGTGACCCTATGTACAACAGCCCTAAACCCTGCTCTGTCCTGTGCCAATCTCATTGTCTCAGACACACCCACCCCCATTACCCCAGTCATTGAATCAATCCTTCTCATAGAGGGTCTTCCTCTCCTGCGTTGAGCCTCCACCCTACCAAGGACTGGTTCATCTACAAGTATTGGTCTCTCCTTGCAACATGTCCAAAGTATGTCAGATGAAGCGTCACAATCCTTGCCTCCAAGGAGCAGCTTGGTTTAACCCTCTCTAGGATGAACCTGTTCTTTTTCTTAGCAGTCCATGGTATATTCAATACTCTTCTGCAGCACCATAGCTCAAAGGCATCAATTCTCCTTCTATCCTCCCTAGTCATTGTCCAGCTCTCTGATGCATAGCAAGTGATTGCAAAGACCATGGCCTGGATCAGGCGCACCTTAGTCTCCAGAGTGACATCATCACTCTGTTGATTTACTTCTGAAAAATCAGCTACTGAAGCCCTCCATGATGTACAGTTCTGTTCTGACCCTCATAGGTTATGATGAGCCAGAATGAATTCAATAGCAAGTATTTTAAAAAGTCACAGTGGGGTGTGTCTGGGAAAGCTTCTGAGAAGAACATGAGCTGCACTGGAATGGAAAGCAGGAGAGGGTCAGGCCTGGCTGAGAGGACAGAGGATGAGGAGCCTCTAGGAGGACCGACCAGGTACTCAAGTGTCAAGGTCTTGGAGTGGTGGGGAGGTGGATTCTCAGAGCCTCAGGTGAGGGGGTGAATGAACTTCAGGGGTCAACTCAGGCCCAACAGCCTTCTTCTTTCAACCCTAGAGGCTTCAGAGCATTTCCAGTCTTCTTCATTGGGCCTGTGCCTCTACCCCCTCAGAGTTCCCATCTTTCCTTACAAGGAGAGTGTGGAATTGCAAAGGGAGGAAATGAATGTTCTCTCCATACATAGGAGGAGGGGAGCTGGGTGGGAGCAACCTGTTTCCTCAGGGCCTTTCTTTCTTTCTCAAGAAACTAGGCTATACTCCTTCCCTGTCACCAGTACTTTACTCCTGTCTAACCCTTCTATCCCACCAAGACTTCAGAACACCAGATGGGACACAGGTGGGACATGGGCTAGAAGCGTGTTGCTAGAGGGCTTCAGCTTAAGTCTAGGCCTTTGGAGAGGAAGCAGTGCTTCGCTGGAGGTCAGAGAAGTTTAATGACTGTGAGGGCTTGGCCAAAGACATCCCAGAGGGTGAAAACAGTTAGTACAGGGTTAGGAGGCACGGCCCTGAGGCCTGGGGAGAGTACTGCGTGCCTGTACAAGATTGTCCCCGTAGCGCAGGGCTGGAGGACTGAGACTGGGCACCTTTTGAGGACCAGAAGTAGCTTCCTGTGGGAAGGTCCTCCTTCTCTTTCAGGGTCTTGCACTGGCCTAGTCTAGAATCTAATCTACTTGGTGTGGAGGTGCTGGGTGCCTACAAGCTGTGCCCTCCAAACTCATCCATAATCTCTCTCAGGTGAGGGTCTGACTCATCTGGCACATGAGGGTAAGAAACCCAAGATTCCTTGTGTCACCCTTGAAAACCAGCGTACATTTGGTTTTGCTTTCCATTTTAGATTCCTAGCAAAGTTAATTTTGAAAATGAAACGATCCTTTTTGCTTGCCCAGTGAGTAAGGTGTTAAAAATACTTTTGTACCCAAAGGCTATTTGGTCATCCAGACAACTCTGGGAGGAAAGAATCATGAGCCACATTTTACAAAAGAAGATATCCAAAGAGGGATGAGAAACAAAGTGACGTCTTCAAGGACCTGCTGCTGGCCAGCTGGGAACTGGGACTTGGGATAACTGGGAGGGAAGCCTGAAGGGCGATAGGTTCTCCTCCACATCTTGGCCTCATTATTATGGAGGACCAAGAGTGCCCCCTCCAGGCTCTGCATGATGTGACCTCTTTTCAGTCAACCTATTATTCATTCATTCATGAAACTTTTTTTGTATGTATGTGCCAGACATAGTAGGTGATGTAACAAAAAAAGTAGAAACAGACATGTTTTCTGATTGTGTGGGGCTCACAGTTCAGAGGGAGAGGAGAGCAAATAGCCATGGTCACACGGCCAGCTGCTGTGGGGTGGGTTCTGACTCATGACAGTCCTTGACAGGTCAGAGTAAAATGGCTGAGTGTAGTGACTGCACCATCTAGGGACTCCTGTGATCATAT